CACTTCTGTTGGGGAAGTATTATTACAAACACAGTCTTCTCTCTCCCCTGAAAAACTCCCTCCATGAAGGAAGAGGGAAGGATAACTGTTTTATTAGCAAGTGAATATTCAGTCAGAGTAGGGTGTCCATTGTAAGCAATCAACTGAAAGACAAGACAGACAGCACTCTCTATTCTCAGGACAGGCAACTAGGTCTCAAGTAAGAGGATTTGACCTCACAGGGTTGCCTGTGGTTCATCTGAGTCAGGACACCCAGGATACAGGCTGATGATGGGTGTGAATGAATTCCTATCTGTGTGGCAGGAGACAGTTTGACAGCTTGTAGCCAGCCACCCACCCAGTTGGGCTTCTAGCCTCTGTTGGAGACTGGGAGATATAGATAGGGACACTATCTCCCTTGGATATTGACATTCCAAAGAGATGGTTCCCAGGTCCTTGAGAAACCTATTTTGGGGTCACAGAACTGACTGAAGCCTTATTTAGCTTTCCAAGGAATTTACACTTATTTTTGGAGACATGAGAGAACTTAGAAGATGTCCATAGAAAATACTCTTAGAAAGGGGAAGGAAGTTCCTCCTTGCTTATTTTCAACGTTGAGAATTCCTTGGGTTTCAGTCTTTACTTGTAGATCACGTTTCAGTTGTAGAGATTCTGCCACCCCCTTCGTGTTATTTTCTCTGCAGCTTTTTCTCCGGGGTCTCTGGTTCATAGTCGGTTCTATGCACAGCACATGCCTGGTTATGGAGTTCAGTCAAAGCTTGTGAGCTTGGCAGTGAATCTGAGAACCAGCCTGGGTCCCTCTTCCATTCTTAGAAGTCTTGTTCCCTAAATTCCCTGTTTTCTATTTCCCCATCTGTAGCACATAGGCTTAATTCCCCAGACAGTGATTGTAAGCCATCCTCACTACTTTTAACAAACTCCGTGGTGCCACTGGTGGGATAGCTCAGTGGGTAAAGGCGCATACCGTTGAGCCTTAGGACCTGAGTTCATACTGTGCTCACATGGTAGAAGGAAGGTGGATTTCTGCATGTTGCCGTTTGCCTACTAAGAGAACAAGTAATGTTAGGTGACAAGAAGGAATGGAGTGCAGACAAAAAAAAAAAAAAAAAAAAAAGGGTCATAAAAGAGGATATAAACTTTTTCTTTTCTAGTTTAAACTGTGTTATGCACTCCCCCTTGTTGGACACGTGAATTCAACTTTCTGTGTACTGAAGTAGCATGAACCATTTTTTGCCCCCAAAAGAGTTCAAGATATCTCTCTTTTTTTCCTTTGAGGCAGTGACTGTGAGAGCTGGGTTTTGCTTTCAAGTCCCTCAACCCCTAGTGCACTAGACATGACTACTCACTGAATACATTTATCACACTGACCCACTTAGTAAATGTGTTTTTAAAAATTGTTGTGAGGGGAGGCGTTTTATAATCTGCAAATCTCTCCCTTCGTCCTCTGCTTAAAACTATGTCAGATCATAAAATGTGTTTTGTGTATATAAGGTATGACTGCTCGAAAAGCCAGTAGCATCTGCAGGCAGGGCGTGGGACCAGTCCTTTGTGATCCCCATTATTTCTTAGACTTGAACACTGCTGTGTGCAGCTCTGTGCATTCCCTTACTAAAGTCCGTCATTCCATCATGTGGCTATGTGGGCAGGCATGTTCCCATATTCCTGCCCCTGGGCATCACGGTTGGTTCTCGTCGTGGGATGGTGCATCCACGACGAGAACTGCATACTGCAGTTCCTGGGGTGCACACACAAGTTTCTCCAGTGGAATGGACTCACTGGACACTCTTCCCCTTGTGGCACCAATGCCTCTGAGAGTTCTGTCCATGGTTGGATCCCTAGCCTTTTTCTCAACCTAAGGACCTCAGTACATGCTGGCTCTAGAGCTCCAGGGCAAACGAAGGGCCCAGTTCTCCATGACTACTTTCCCTCAAGAGACTACTGACTTTCCAGCCTGGTGGTGGAAATGAAGACCAAATCAGGAGCAACAGGAAACTGGCAGCTAATCTTAGAATAGTTTTTCTGGAGAAATAGGCCTTGGTCGTAATGTTTTTAAATGTGGGGTTTTCTCACTGCCAGTGGCTGTTATTAATTAAAGCTGAAGGGGTTTTCCCTCATAGCTGTAGCTGTGTTTGTAAAAAAAAAACCAACTGAAGGCTTCAAAGCACCAGTAAACAGAATCATGTCACTATTAGGAAGAAAGTTAAAGATCGACCAGAGGCGGTGTGCTAATAAGAGAGATATTGGCTCTATAAGGACGTGGGATTAGCAGTCAGTTGGAAAATAATGATAAGTGTTGTATCAAATAAATCAACAAAAACACAATTGTTGACTTTCTCTGGGAAGGAACTACTCTTTACAAAGAGTGAGGGGAGTTTTGTTTGGAAATTTAGGGAGCTGTTAATTGAGAACCTTATTTCTTTGATTCCAGTATCTGGAATCCCATATCCTAATTTAGCAAGTGGTATCTCTAAGCTCTAAATAGTAAGATACCTAAAGAGAACCATGTGGCTTGTGTCTTGGTAAAAGCTATCTGGTGGTGTGGGGAAGAAAGTATGGACGCTGGATTCCCAAGGTCCACAAATGACTTCCTCAGGCCCACTGTATGGCGTGTCCCTCACACAGCCACTGCTGTTCCTGGGTCCAGTGGTCCCTGCTATTGATGGAATGCGTTTCTCCTTACAAAATTCTTAAAATTTATTTTTTAAGTCATGTTTTAATTCCCCGATAGTCTCATTAATTTATATAAGGCACATTGATCACATCTACCACTGCCTTCTTCCATTTCTTTCCCTAACCACATTTTGTAGGACGGTGACACTTTTCCTGGTGTCTTGTTTGGGAATTTAGAAAGATGCGGAGCCTAAGTGTAAACCTTATTTCTTTGTTTCCAGTATTTGGAATTCCATGTATTTATTTAGTGGGTGGTATCTTTAAGCTATAAATAGTGACACTTTCCATCATTTTAATACTCACCTTTCCCTAATTTCTGTCCTCTAGTAAAAAGGCTCTTCTTGCTTCTACTGGAAGTTAGTTTTTTGAATTGTCATTTAGCCAGCTTCTTTTCTCACTTGGAGAATGTATTGGTTTGCCCAGTTCCAGGATGCATTTTAAGTATGGCGCTCATCTGTTCTAGTCATTTCATTTCTGAATTTTAAACTACATTTCATCATTCTCTTCAGTCACTTAAAAAAAGAAACAGGAGTTTGGAGACTGAGCCTGGTATAGAATTTCTCTCCACTCACTAGAATAACCACCTGCTCTGCGTCAGACATACTATTTTAATAGTTTCATGCATTTATTTATTTGTTGCGTATGTGTTATGGCATAGCCACCATCACATACTTTTGGAGGTTAGAGGACAACTTTCACAAGTCAGCTTTCTCCTTCCACCATGTGGGCTCTCGGTTTGGGTGAGTCAGATGTGTTTATTCCCTGAGCATCTTGCTGGCTCCAGATTCAGTGTATTTATTTTAGATCTGGTTATTTCATTTTATGTGTATGGGTGTTTGCTTGCATGTGTGTGTGTGTGTGTTTGCTTGTACATGCATGCATGCCTGCTGCTCTTGGAGGTCAGACGAGGGCATCGGGTTTGCTAGAATTGGTGTTATGGATGGTTGTCAGGCACCATGCCGGAGAATGGACAAGGGTTCTCTGCAAGAGCAGCAAGTGCTCTTAACCATTGAGAACCACCCAAACTGAGAGATCACATGGTTTCTTGGGTTTTTCTGAGAAACTCGATTTATGTAAATTGTTCTCTAACCTCTAAAAGTATGTCATGGTGCATGCATCCATTAAATAAATAAGTAAATAAATAAACAATTAAAATATTATGTCATCTGACGCAGAGCAGGTGCGTCATTCTAGTGAGTAGAGAGAAATTCTACACCGGGCTTAGTCTCCAATGATACAGTGCTTTTTAAAGAAAATATGTATGATTCCATATATAAGAATTTTTTTTTTTTTTTGAGATGGGGTTTCTCTATGAAACTGTGGCTGGCTTGAAACTTATTATGTAGACCAGGCTGGCCTCAAACTCACAGTGATCCTTCTGTCTCTGCCACTGAGTGCCAGGATTATAGGTGTGTGCTACTTGCCTGAAGGCTACACTTGCCCTTCGTTTTACATCAGCCTTAATGTTCGGGGATGGATGCAAGTGGTCTTTATTCTGGTTTATGGGGATTAACGCCTGAACCGGTCTCTTTGGGAGCAGTTTTGGGGTAGGACAGACAACTTGACAACTGTAGGTTTGAAATCCAAGGCAATTCTTTTTACCTGAGATTAAAAAAACACAAGCAAAGATCAAGATTACTCTGTGCTCAGTGACACATACACATAAGAGAGGCCGAAAAAGATCTTGAGGGTTATTTGTTGTTATTTCCCACTTAGAATGGCATGAGGGCTTTACCATCCCTGGGAGGTGTGGGGTCTCTCCATATTGTACTTCTGTACTTCTAGTTTGCTCTCTCTGTTAACCTCACTGCTGCATTGATAGAGTTTATTACTTGGTTAGTCCATGATATGGTTCACCAGCTGCTCTAATACTACCTTGAGGTTCCGGGTCCCTGTGAGTTTTTGGATAAGCAAGATGATAGGTAGTAGTCATTTCAAACGTGAAACATTTGTCATTCTAGTTTATGACACCCGGTCAATGTTCTACCCAAGAAAGTCCTTCATGGTCTCTGCTTCAGATCCTGCCCTTGTTTTCCTCAGTGATGGATTGTGACATGAAGGTGGAAACGAAATAAACCCTTTCCTCCCCAAGCTGCTTCTCTCTGTCTCTGTCTCTGTCTCTTTCTGTATGCAGGTGCGTGTGCCATGGTGTGTGACAAATGTCGTGGTGTGTGCATATGTCATGGTGTGTGTGTGTGTGTTATAATACAACTTTGGGTGTCGGTCTTTGCCTTCCACTTAGTTCAGGATAGAGTCTTGGTGATCACTGCTTTTCAGGCCAACTACTTGGCCTTTGATTGTCCTGTCTCTGCCTCTCATTTTTGTTGTAGAAGTGCCGAGGTTACCGATGCAGAAGGCTGCTGCATCCAGCCCTCTGTGGATGCGGGGGATCTGAACTGAGGTCCTCATGCTTGTGTGTCTGTCAGCCACTTTACCTATTGAGTTATCGCTCCAGCCATTAATGCTCTTTGGATGTTACTCATGTCATTTTTGAAACGATTCAAATAAAATGGCTTCAGCACGGCAGTGGCATGCTTATAGAGTCCAGGCAGAAAGACCTAATTTCAGATTTCCCTGCTTGCAGTTGATCTGTTTCTTTATAAAACCCTGATCTTCCCACCTGCCACATGAGGAGGTGAATGCTCCAAGAGCTTCTGAGATACAGATGTTGAGCTCAATCTGTGACTGCTTGTTACTGTTGTGGATAATGAGGAACACAGGGTAATGCCTCATAGAGTGGGGGAGGGATCAGGAAGTCCATACTGGAAGAAGTCATGGTGGACTGTAGGCGGAGCCAAGGCTTTTCAGAAGGACACGACTTAGCATCGATTAGCAAACACTACCTGGGGGCTTTGGAAGCATCACAGTTCTGGCCAATGAATCATATTTGTCTTTGAAAAGGACAAGGCAGGGCCTGGAGAGATTGGAAGCAGAGCAGTGAGTGTTCTCTGACCTGGGCTGAGAGTTACTGGAGAGCTGGAGCAACAACAGATAGATGGAATGGGCCATGGAGTAGAAATGGACAGAATACAGAATGGTGAAGAGTTCAATTGCAGAAATGTCGGGGGAGGGGGAGGAACAAAGCATGAATGAGTTAAGAGTGCCTTGTGCTGGCCATTGAGTGACAAGCGACTATGAATGAATACAGGACATATAAATGTGCAATGGTAGCCGATGGGAAAGGAGAATATATCTTTCATAGGAAAACCCTTTAATTGAATTCTGATTGTACTGTGCTATTTTTTGAGCAAGGATGGGCCTTTGTCATGTGTCATTATTCTGACATTATTCAGATTAGGCTGTAGTATTTCTGTAAAATACTTTAGACATTTGGAATCATAATTTAGTGGTGAGTCAACTGGGGTGAGTCAGCTAGGATGAGGCTCCTCCAGACAGCATAAGGCTCCTGTATGCACACCTTCTTTTGTTTTGGCATTTCCTGTAGGTTATAAACCACAGCTCAAGAAGTATCTTTAGGTTTTTTCCAATAAGTTTACACACAACCTTAAAACTAAACATTTTAAGCCATGGGTAGAAGTGAATGTTGTAAATTTCAAAGATGCCCCTGTGAGTTGTTGCCTAGTTTTCCTTTAAGTCACCCAAGGCTGCTTTTGCATTGGAAATAAAGATGCCACTTTCCATTGTAGAAATAGTATCTTGCTACTAGGCAGAGTGACTTTTGATTTTAAAGAAGCATATTAAAATAATATATGACTTCAATTTTTTTCTGGGTTGATATTTAATGCTACTAGAAACTTTTGTTCCAATGGGAAGTAAAACTGAAGGACTCACCTTGGTCAGAAACTGATAAACACAGTTGAAGAAGAGGAATAGTGGGAAAAGAGACGCGTAGCCTGGAAAAGGTTTCATTGTTCTGACCCCGCCCAAAGAACAATGTTGCTGACCTCTGGTGAAGCTCTAACCCTGAGCGACTGCAGGGACTGTGGATGGAGATTTTGAGATTTTTGTGCAGGGAAGTTTTGCAGAACTGGGCTTCTCATCAGTTTTAGATTTGAGTTTCTGAGCCCTCCTGGAGGGGGTGGGTTGGTGCTTCATTGTTGTCTTACAGTGACACATCTGCGTGGTTTTGCACTGCTGTGAGCACCCTGAGAGCCTTTGAGAGTGTTGGGCAAGGAACCATTTCCTTTTCTCATTGTCATTGGTCAGGGCAACACCCACAGATGCCGGCTTTGCTTTCTGAGAGTCAGATAGTTTTTCTGAAGTGTTGGCTTCATTGTGGCCTTTTCAGACATACTTTGTTCTTATCCACCCCGTTCTTCACTTCCTCCTCCTTCATTCCTCTCTTGCTAGGCCCCTTCCTTTTCTTCATTAGCCCCCTTCTGTTTTAGTCCATGTGTGTCTTTCCCCCTCCCCCGCATTTTCCTTTACAATCGCTTCCTTCTCTCACGCTCTTTTTTCTGGTGTTACAATCTTCACACATGCTAGATTTAGCTAAAGCATCCTCAGTGGCCTGTGTGGATCGGAACTCTCTCCTTGTCTTGAGAGAAATTCCACAGATCTCAAGATATGTACATTGCTTCACTCATATTTTCTTATCATTGGCTTGAAGGATGAAATAGGACTTTAAAAATAAATATGGGTTTCTCTTGTAGTAAGACAACCTTCTAGTTTTTTTTTTTTTTTTTTTTTTTTTTTTTTTGAGACAGAATTTCTCTGTGTCACCTTGGCTGTCCTGGACTCACTTTGTGGATCAGGCTGGTCTGGAACTCACAAAGATTCCCCTGCCTCTGCCTTTCCAAGTGCTAGAATTACAGAATTACAGGCATGTGCCACCATGCCCAGCTCTTTTTAAATGTTCATGTATGTGTATGTGTGTTTGTGTGTTTGTGTTTGTGTGTGCGCGCGCGCGCGCACACACACACACACACACACACACGCGCGCCTGTGCACGCATGCGCACATGCGTGTGTGCCTGTAAAGATCAGGGAAAATCTTATAGGAGGTTATTCTCTCCTTCCACCATGTGGGACAGGGGATGAAGCTCAGGGCAAGACCCTTTTCCCGCTGAGCTATTTCCCTGGCTCTACCATCCTTGTCAGTCATGGAGATGAAGAATATCTCCAACAGAGGAAGGATACTTGATGGCTGCTCTAGCTTCCTCTAAGTCTCAGATACCACTAGGACCAGTTGTGTGTTCTCTGCCTCAGGATCCACAGGGACCCAGTAACATTACTTCCTTGTTTCCTTAAATTAAACTATGTAATAAAATAGGAGAAGTGAAACAAATGTTTATAGAGGCCAAGAACCACTACTGAATAATAGCTTATTAAAATAGATAAAAGGAAATTAGGTTTCTGTTTTGAAATTTTATTTAAGAGAAGGACTATGGTTTTGAAATTGGATATTACCAGTTTTATATTAGAATAACGTCCAATGAACACGCAGTAGACAATGCAACTGGTCATTAAATTGTTCTGGTAATTGGTTTAGTTGTGTAGATGTGGCTGACTATTTAGTGGGTTTTCATTTATTAATATATCTGACTGAGAGGGATAGTGTAGTGAGGCCCATTCTGCTGTTCCTTAACCCTGGGCAACTGAATTCTGGGATTTGTATCCAGCTATTCAGCCAACTATGGGACACAAATGTTCAGAAAACAACAAAGCAGCTGCCTTGAAAATGGACAGACAGACTCCCTAAGCAAGACTCTGAAGCTGATTAGAAGTGCATGAGAAGATGTCCAGGTAGTATAAAGGCATGCTGCCATTCTAGAAAAAGACTCAGGCACCTCTGGAATTTGGTTCTCCGTGTGGGAGGCCCTGAAACCAGTCCCTGGAGATACTGAGGTGTGACTGTGTCCGAGGGTCACTCCTCAGAGATTCTGAGTCCTTTCATAGCTCCCTAGTGCTCAGTTCTGTGTGCATGTCCATGCTCACACTTATACCTCTTTCCTGTGGCTGTCTTCTCCAGCGTCCAGGAACTCTTGCCTGAAGGACCCATCAGGCCCCTCAGTTGTTTGAACTCTGTGTCCCCCTCCTTCACCTGCCATCAGTCTGCTTATCATGACAGTGCTTCCCAAACTGTGTTCTGTGGAAGCTCACACCAGTGCTGCCTTACAGAGAAGCCATGGTCAGAGAGTTCTAGAATGGCTCCTGGAACTATATTGTAAATTTATTTTATACCCTGAATTAGACTGTTACTTTTATTATATATATATATATATATATATATATATATATATATATATATATATATATATATA